GCCAGGAAAAGCAGTCCAGGAGGCAACAGCAGCCCTCAGACATGCTGACATTGTGGGTCATGTTCAGCAAGGGAGAGGAGGCCTTGGGCTAACTAGCCGTGCTGCTTGGAGTAAGGCCACTGCACCAGAGCGGCGGAAGATGGTAGTGCAGGAAGTACGCCATCAGGAGGAGGCTGCAAGGTGGGCCAAGGCAGTCTCTCTTGCCAAACAGGGACAGTGGACTCGATGGGACAGTGTGGAGAAGAGGAAGATCAGCTGGAAGGAGCTGTGGGCCATGGAAGCGAGGCGGTTGAGCTTTTCCATCAGAGCAACATATGACATCCTTCCAACACCAGTTAATCTTCACCAATGGTATGGTGAAGATCCGGACTGTGTCCTCTGTTCCATGCCAGCCAACCTCAGGCACATTCTCACAGGGTGTAAAACAAGCCTCACCCAAGGACGCTACACTTGGCGTCACAACCAAGTCCTTAAAAACCTTGCGTCCGCTGTGGAGGACAAGCGAGCTGCCACCAACTCCCTACCACCCCCAGCAGCATCACACCCCTTACGGACGACCTAAACCACCGAAGAGCGGCTCTACACCATTAGAGCGAGACCAGCTGCGCTTGGCCCGCGACTGGAAAATGCTAGCTGACATTGGCCGGCAACTTGTGTTTCCTCCGGAGATCGCAACCACCACCCTAAGTCCTGACATGGTGCTCTGGTCCCGTTCACTCAAGAAGGTCTTCATCATTGAGCTCACAGTACCCTAGGAGGACTCAGTAGATGAGGCTTATGAGCGAAAACATCTGCGCTATGCCGATCTAGCTGCCGAAGCACGGCATCATGGCTGGAACACAGAAGTCCGACCAGTGGAGGTGGGCTGCAGAGGTTTTGTGGCAACATCTACAACCAGACTGCTTAGAGACCTGGGAATTAAGGGCCAGAGCCAGCGTTCGGCAATCAGAGCTGTATCGGAGGCGGCAGAAGGCAGCAGTCAGTGGCTCTGGATGAAGAGGAAAGACCCCAGCTGGGCCCCGAAATGAGAGGGCCAGGAGGTATGCAGTCAACAATGCTTGACTCAGGGAGGAGGACGCCCCTGCCATGCATAGTCCCATGGGATGTTGGCTATCAACAACAAGGCAACTCCTATGACTAATTGGGAATGGGACGCAAGCGCAGGATTGATCACCCTGTCGCTGGCCGCCTTTGGGGAGGGTGTATAGTATGAAAGGCCGAAACACCCTAGGAACCAAAGGTTCACTACTGACGATGCGCTCCCCAAATTTCACCAGGCTCACTGTTCATGAACTCTTGGAAGTGCTTGCACAAAGGATAGTAACATCTCATCCTGTGTTCTTGGAATCTGGGCCAAGTCTTCTGCGCGTTCAGCAGGAATTGTCATCACTGATTGCTCGTTAGTGCCACACATTTTAGTTTTCGTTTGCAAACTCAATCGAACTCTGCAGGGACCCGAGTTGGATTCCTGCTCACGGCCAAAAACAGTTGATGATTATCTGAACCGGTCGTGGGCCTCCCCGAGGTCAACTCGGCCTAAAAGTTGTCCCTTGTGCGATGTGTAAACATCACCACTAGGGAGACAAAGGGGGCCGGGCCTGGTTCTGGTCACCCACCCCCCCCCCCCCGTGTGCCACAGTGCCGGCCTTGATAAGTGCTGCTACTCGCTAACAGCACTTGCCCCCGACAGTCTGTTAGAGGCTATATGGAGGATCTTTGTCTTTGGCAGTGGCGGTGCAGAAGGTGCGTGCAGGAGGTGCGTGCAGGAGGTGCGTGCAGGAGGCCGAACGGCGCCCGGAAGAGACGCGTCCCACGAAGAGCTTCCATGAAGAAGTGCGGGAGCGAGGCGAGAGGGGGCCAAGGGATGGGCCGCGGGAGGTCTGAGGGAGGGCAGCGAAGGGGGGGGGGCAGATGAACGTCAGCGAGGGACAGGAGCTCGGCCTGAGGGGCACAGAACTGGGGCGGAGTCGGGAAGCGGGAGGGGAAGAGGGGAGAGAGAGACGGCGCAGCAAGAGTCGAGGGCCAGAGACGCGGCGAGCGAGAGACGCGGAGACGAGGCGGCGAGGGGAGCACGGCAAGAGAGAGAGAGAGACAACCATCAGAGGAATTTCATTCAACGGTTCTTGAGGCAGAGGCTAGGGGGGTCCGGTTCGGACGGAGCGAGAGAGACGGGGCGAGATGAGGGGAGGGGCAGAGACGTCGCGAGAGATCGGCAAAGAGAAGGGGAGGCAAGGGGAAGACAGGAAGAGAGAGAGAGACATCAGAGGGCGCCGAGCCTTCGTCGATTTATAAGCGAGAGGTTAGGGGGATTCAGTTGGGAAGGAGGGAGAGAGACGGGGAGGCAGGGAGGGAGAGAGACGGGGGCCCAGGGAGGGAGGGAGATGGGGGGGCAGAGAGAGAGAGAGATGGGGGGACAGAGAGGGGGAGAGATGGGGGGGCAGAGAGGGAGAGGGGGGCAGGAGGGAGAGAGACGGGGGGGCAGAGAGGGGGACGAGAGAGGGGGACAGGGAGGGAGAGAGACGGGGGGCAGAGAGGGGGAGGAGATGGGGGGGCAGAGAGGGGGAGAGATGGGGGGGCAGAGAGGGAGAGGGGGGCAGGGAGGGAGAGAGGACGGGGGGGCAGAGAGGGGGAGAGACGGGGGGGCAGAGAGGGGGGCCAGAGAGGGGGAGAGAGAGGGGGGCAGGGAGGGAGAGGGGGGCAGGGAGGGAGAGAGACGGGGGGGCAGGAAAGGGGGAGAGACAAAAGGGCAGGGAGGGAGAGAGCTGTAGATGCCACTGGTTCTTCACATTCTGTAGATGTAGATGCCACTGGTTCTTCACGTTCTGCAGATGTAGATGCCACTGGTTCTTCACGTTCTGCAGATGTAAATGCCACTGGTTCTTCACGTTCTACAGATGTAGATGCAACTGGTTCTTCACGTTCTGCAGATGTAAATGCCACTGTTCTTCACGTTCTGCAGATGTAGATGCCACTGGTTCTTCACGTTCTGCAGAGGTATATGCCACTTTCCGTTCTGCAGATGCCACTGGTTCTTCACGTTCTGCAGATGTCAGAAGGCCACTGGTTCTTCACGTTTCTTGCAGATGTAGATGCCACTGGTTCTTCACGTTCTGCAGATGTAGATGCCACTGGTTCTTCACGTTCTGCAGATGTAGAAGCCACTGGTTCTTCACGTTCTGCAGATGTAGATGCCACTGGTTCTTCACGTTCTGCAGATGTAGAAGCCACTGGTTCTTCACGTTCTGCAGATGTAGATGCCACTGGTTCTTCACGTTCTGCAGATGTAGAAGCCACTGGTTCTTCCGTTCTGCAGGTAGATGCCACGGTTCTTCACGTTCTGCAGATTGTAGAAGCCATGGTTCTTCACGTTCTGCAGATGTAGATGCCATGGTTCTTCACGTTCTGCAGATGTAAATGCCACTGGTTCTTCACGTTCTACAGATGTAGAGCCACTGGTTCTTCACGTTTTGCTAGATGTAGATGCACTGGTTCTCACGTCTGCAGATGTAGATGCCACTGATCTTCACGTTCTGCAGATGTAGATGCTAATTCCCTTTGGCACGTGTTTCCTCTCTATTCTCTTGAAATACCTACTAAGAGATGTCTGCCACAGTTGTTCTCTTCATCTCTGCACAAATCAACTTGTGATGGGCAATCGCATCGTTGAACTGCGGTAACGGGGACATACGGACAGGTTTGTACGTATCTCTGAAGAGTTTCCCAAGTCGAATGTTTGTAAGTAGAGGTAGTCCCTGTACTACATCGGGCACAATCTGGGGGCAGGGGTGGGGGGTCAAGGGAATTGGGTGATGCAACAGATGTTCATTAGGGATAGAGGGGTTGGTTGTCCCTGTGGAGGCGGCATTGCCGAGGGGACAGGACAGGAAGGGTGGGTCACCCTTGACACGTGAAGGACACGGCTTCGAATCCCGTCTAGTGAGCAAAACGAACAAAGACGCAAAGGTCACCGTGAACCGATGTCACGACTCCCCCGCGCTGACGTCATATCGAGTTTCATTTAAGTGACGCCACTATATTTTCAAAACGAGTGTGATTTTTACAGTATTTTTGTTTTAAGACGCGAGGTTGCCACCCGTCCTTGCTTTGATGTAATATCCCTGCATTGATGCATTTCATTTCATTAAATTGATATCACTAGATTGCCACGGTTATCATTTGTAATTCTTTACGACGCGAGTTTGCCACCAAGATCATCCTCTTATGGAGGTCAGCTCCCGTGGGATATCTCCAAGTCTTCGCAGAAACGTGACTTGGCAAGTCCTGGTTTGTTGCCAGTCGCGTGAAAGTTTGCCACTCATTAGCGTGCATGCACACGCACAGTCATCCTCCCCCGTCTCTCTTATGCTGTTGTGAATACAGGGGGGGGGGAGTGCTTCAAAAACAAGTGAACACTTCTGAGACTTTGCAACAGCAGCAGCACAGGAGAACGTGCTGCCTCCGGCCTCTGGAGACCTGCACCTGTAGAAGATTGCGGGCGCACGTTGACAATGTTGGCAAAGACTCTTCGGCTTTTTAAATTCTTTATATTAAGTTCACTTGCTTGCGCGCTTACGACCGTGCAAACCTTTCGGTCGTTTTTTAACCCACTTCCCGTGATCCAATCGAGCTGACATTTTGCACACAGACTCGTTGTGCGTGACAATTAATGTTCGTGAACATTTTTTTCCAAAATTTTACACTTTTTAGGGAAAACAAATTAAATATTTAATTACCAATTGTTTAATACTGGCAGACAATCATCTGACCCATAGGTGGCAGCCATCTCAAGCCAGAGGACGAGAGGACTCTAGCCGCCACGCACATAAAGGATTTATAGTGAAAAACTTTGTTTTTACGGGTTATACTTGTTGAAGCTATTAGGACGGAACCACGATTGACCTCCGACAGTGGCGATGATGTTCACAATGGGTGAAGGGGCTGAGTTGGTACCCGCGACGGGTTTCGCAAACTCACAACCTTTCCGAGTGTATTTCCTTACGTTGAATACAAAAAAAGCACGGAATTGCTTGCGATTTTAAGCGCTTTAATTTTGAGCGAACACGCAACGAACAGAAACAATGAACGTTCACTTTACAATCAAAATGCAATCAAAATGTTTTTGAGATATCAAAGATTGCATTTTCAATAAAAACTGCAGAAGAAAAATATTAAATAAATGTGGATATCTACATAAAATGATATTATAAACACACTATCCTAAAAATACAGCACCATATTTTAACACTAAAGCAGTCACTGACTCGCAACAACTTGCAATCATAAGTGACAAAGTTAATTTCGGGTAAAATCAATGAAAATGGGGTATGCCGATAGCATAAAAAATTAACCCGTAAAAACAAAGTTTTTCACTATAAATCCTTTATATGCGTGGCATCGGGGCGGCTAGAGTCCTCTCGTCCTCTTGCTTGAGATGGCTGCCACCTATGGGTCAGATGATTGTCTGCCACCATTAAACAATTGGTAATTAAATATTTAAAATTTTCCCTAAACAGTGTAAAATTTTGGAAATTTTTTTTCAGGAAAATGCATTGTCACGCACAACGAGTCTGTGTGCAAAATGTCAGCTCGATTGGATAACGGGAAGTGGGTTAAAAAACGACCGAAAGATTTGCACGGTCCTAAGCAAGCAAGCGAACTTAATATAAAGGATTTAAAATGAGATGTGATTGAGCAAATCTGAGATCAGATTTGGAATCGGCACCCTGAAATTAGTCTAGAACAGCTGCAAAAGTCCAGGCCAGAAAAACATGTTGTGTTGTTGTTGTTGACCAGTGTTAACGGCGAAAGTGTCCACCCCCCCACCTCCTCTCTGAAAATTGATGAAAAGCAGCGACTTAAAACTGAACACCCAAAACATTTGAACTGCGGTGGCTAGAAGTCTCCACCCTGGCTACCATTTCGCCAAGAACAATGGAATGTAGAACAACGTCGCTCAAAACAAACTCCGATTCTCTTTTAATCCTCCGATTCAGAAGTGGTGTCGACATCTGGACCCTCAAACCACTCAAAGGGTGAGTGTCGCCGTTTTGCAGGAAGCTTGATGGAAGGTGATACAGAGACCATCTTCCCTTCTTCTTGTTTCTTTCGGTAAAGTCACGTAGAAGGGAAGTAATAAAATAATAAAAATAAAACATAATAAAACAATTCTCACGACGTTTCGGCTACAACGCAAGCAGCCGTCTTCAGGTGAAGAATGAGACACTACCAAACTAGGAGCTTATATATAAGCTGCATTGGGGGTTGAAGAGCGCCTTAACAAAAAGAATGTGCATGTGAAGAGGGATTTAGCATATTCATGGAAAATGCGTAGGCGTTGGGCGGGGGGGTGTCAAAGTCATATTATGCCCATGCATTATGCAGGATCAGCAGCAACCAAGGGGGGTGCAGGGATTAGCAGTAACAAAGGAAAGGAATGTTAATGATATGTAGCTGCAGTTACTCAACAACCACGTAGAAAACTAAAGTATAAACTACATAAAAAAAAAAACTAAAGTATAAACTGCATCGCACCATCAGTATACTTACTATACTCTATAATAAGCTGAGTTACTAACAGCAAGTAATACATTACAATTTTACCTCGTAAAAATTCTATAATATGCTTCCATCTAAACCTTATTCTCTTACATCACACGAGCATATACCGTACTATATACTGCCATAGATAAACCCAACATTAAATTATATACTGTATTGCTGTAAACCAACCTATATCTTATACATTTAATATCACACTATGTATTATTCTACACACCCTAATGTGTATCGAAATGGTTTATTACGTCCTTCCAATGATTGCTGAGCCAGAATCCATCTTCTCGGTTAAAGTTGTCTCTGTGTTTGTATATGTGGATCGCCTCATGAACGAATCTCTCATGATAGCCAGATGGCTTGCAGAGAACCTCTGTCTTGGAGAAGTCAATATCATGTGAGCCCACTGAGTTGTAACAGTGATCTGCCACGGCTGAGGTGTTAGTCCTACCGTGTTTCAGGTCAGCTTTATGTTCACGGATGCGGTCCGAGACATGTCGTTTGGTTTCCCCAATGTAACTGCTACCACAGAGGAAACTTAGTTTGTAGACGCCAGGGTACTGTATGTCTGGAACCACATCTTTTACAGACGGTACCAGATCACGGATTTTATGTACTGTGTTGAATCGGACCTGGATCTTGTGTTTAATCAGGATTTTGGAGATCTTTTTTGTGACCCCAGCAATGTAGGGTAAGGTGATGGTCTTGAAAGGCTCCTCAACAGGATCCTTCTTGATGGTTGGAGTGATGGCTTTGCTGATTGTATAGTCGGAGTAACCATTTGCCTTAAGAGCTTGGCGTACGTGTTTGAGTTCACTGGAAATGTGTTCATGGTCGGAGATGCATTGGGCTCTATGATATAGAGTCTTGATGAGGGAATTCTTCTGAGATGGATGGTGGTGGGAATCCGGTTTTAGATAAGCATCCGTGTGGGTGGCTTTCCTGTAGACAGAGTGGCTCATTGAACCATCAGGTCTCCTTTTGATTAGGACATCCAAAAAGGGTAGCTTGCCATCATTTTCGACTTCCATGGTGAATCTGATGGCTGGGTGTATGGAATTGATGTGGTCGAGAAATTGGTCTAGAGCAGGCCGGCCATGTGGCCAGATGACAAAAGTGTCGTCTACGTACCTCTTCCATAAGGTCGGGCGTAGAGTGGCAGTCTGGATGGCGTCCGTCTCAAATTTCTCCATGAAGATGTTGGCTACAACCGGAGATAGGGGGGAGCCCATTGGGGTGCCCTCAATTTGCTTGTAGAAGGTTCCATTCCAGGTGAAGTATGTATTGGTTAAGCAGTGTCTCACCAGGGGGGGTACCTCAGCATTCAGTCCTTGATGAACCAAGTCTTCAATGATTGCGATGGTGTCAGGCACAGGTACCTTGGTGAACAAGGAAACCACATCAAAACTGACAAGCAGGTCGTCTGGGGACAGGGCAATCCCCTTGATTGTCGATACCAGGTCAGTAGAGTTTAGTACTGCAGAGGTGGTTTTTCCAGTGAAAGGCCGTAGGATTTCGGACAAAAAACGAGCCAGTTTGTAAGTGGGGGAGTTGATAGTAGAGACAATGGGACGAAGAGGTGTATCTTCTTTATGTATCTTTGGCAAGCCGTACAATCTTGGTGGTCTGGCTGCAGAAGGTTTCAAAGAGAACTGTTTGGTCTGATCAATTAATGCGGTTGAAGCAGAAATGATGTTGTTGGTTTTGGAGACGAGGCTGTTGGTGGGGTCTCTTTTTATTTGTGTATAGCTGCCATCGTTTAGTAGTTCTTGAATTTTGTTGTTGTATTCTGTTTTGTCCATGATGACAGTGGCATTGCCTTTGTCGGCTGAGAGGATGACAATGTCATCCCTCTTTTTTAATTGAGCTAATTCAAAACGCTCCTCTTTGCTGATGTTGCTAGCTGGCATCTTAGCGTTTTTGAGGGTTACAGAGATTTCGGATCTTGCTACGTCTGCAGCGATGTGACTCAAGCCCTTGAGAGCTACATCTACTCGAGCAATTATATCATTAACTGGTATGTGTCTAGGTGTGACTGCAAAGTTTAGTCCTTTAGCTAAAACGGATTTCAAACCTTCAGAAATAGGACTGTTACTGCGATTAATTACGACTTTGTTAATATCTAGCTTTTCAATGTGTGGGTCCGGTTTCTTGTTTGAGAGGCGATTGAATTTGGAAATCAAGTTGTCCTTACATTTAGTCGACATAGCGGCAGCTGAAGAGGCAGTCATTTTTTCCACATGTTCCCAATCCGATGTGGACATTGTTACACTCAAAGATAAGTGTGATTTGTAGAGTGTCTTGTCTAACTGATCTAGTTCGGTGCGCGTAAGTCTGATTTTCTCTGAGATAAGAGCTAAGCTAGTTCTAGACAGAATTCGTTTCGCATTAGAAGAAGTTACAGCAGCAGATGTTAGTGTAAATGCGTTTGGTATTACCTTAGAGTCGCGGCATCTCTTCAGAAAGGTGAGAGACTCGATTAGCTGAGCCTTCTTATCCCGGAGCTTGTTGAAGGATCTCAGAGTTATGTGGAAACCCTCCCCGTAGAGGCGGTTAAATTTCGATTTAAAGCTTTCGTGACTGCAGGGATTCATCTTCTTGTTTCTTTCGGTAAAGTCACGTAGAAGGGAAGTAATAAAATAATAAAAATAAAACATAATAAAACAATTCTCACGACGTTTCGGCTCCGTCTTCACCTGAAGACGGCTGCTTGCGTTGTAGCCGAAACGTCGTGAGAATTGTTTTATTATGTTTTATTTTTATTATTTTATTACTTCCCTTCTACGTGACTTTACCGAAAGAAACAAGAAGATGAATCCCTGCAGTCACGAAAGCTTTAAATCGAAATTTAACCGCCTCTACGGGGAGGGTTTCCACATAACTCTGAGATCCTTCAACAAGCTCCGGGATAAGAAGGCTCAGCTAATCGAGTCTCTCACCTTTCTGAAGAGATGCCGCGACTCTAAGGTAATACCAAACGCATTTACACTAACATCTGCTGCTGTAACTTCTTCTAATGCGAAACGAATTCTGTCTAGAACTAGCTTAGCTCTTATCTCAGAGAAAATCAGACTTACGCGCACCGAACTAGATCAGTTAGACAAGACACTCTACAAATCACACTTATCTTTGAGTGTAACAATGTCCACATCGGATTGGGAACATGTGGAAAAAATGACTGCCTCTTCAGCTGCCGCTATGTCGACTAAATGTAAGGACAACTTGATTTCCAAATTCAATCGCCTCTCAAACAAGAAACCGGACCCACACATTGAAAAGCTAGATATTAACAAAGTCGTAATTAATCGCAGTAACAGTCCTATTTCTGAAGGTTTGAAATCCGTTTTAGCTAAAGGACTAAACTTTGCAGTCACACCTAGACACATACCAGTTAATGATATAATTGCTCGAGTAGATGTAGCTCTCAAGGGCTTGAGTCACATCGCTGCAGACGTAGCAAGATCCGAAATCTCTGTAACCCTCAAAAACGCTAAGATGCCAGCTAGCAACATCAGCAAAGAGGAGCGTTTTGAATTAGCTCAATTAAAAAAGAGGGATGACATTGTCATCCTCTCAGCCGACAAAGGCAATGCCACTGTCATCATGGACAAAACAGAATACAACAACAAAATTCAAGAACTACTAAACGATGGCAGCTATACACAAATAAAAAGAGACCCCACCAACAGCCTCGTCTCCAAAACCAACAACATCATTTCTGCTTCAACCGCATTAATTGATCAGACCAAACAGTTCTCTTTGAAACCTTCTGCAGCCAGACCACCAAGATTGTACGGCTTGCCAAAGATACATAAAGAAGATACACCTCTTCGTCCCATTGTCTCTACTATCAACTCCCCCACTTACAAACTGGCTCGTTTTTTGTCCGAAATCCTACGGCCTTTCACTGGAAAAACCACCTCTGCAGTACTAAACTCTACTGACCTGGTATCGACAATCAAGGGGATTGCCCTGTCCCCAGACGACCTGCTTGTCAGTTTTGATGTGGTTTCCTTGTTCACCAAGGTACCTGTGCCTGACACCATCGCAATCATTGAAGACTTGGTTCATCAAGGACTGAATGCTGAGGTACCCCCCCTGGTGAGACACTGCTTAACCAATACATACTTCACCTGGAATGGAACCTTCTACAAGCAAATTGAGGGCACCCCAATGGGCTCCCCCCTATCTCCGGTTGTAGCCAACATCTTCATGGAGAAATTTGAGACGGACGCCATCCAGACTGCCACTCTACGCCCGACCTTATGGAAGAGGTACGTAGACGACACTTTTGTCATCTGGCCACATGGCCGGCCTGCTCTAGACCAATTTCTCGACCACATCAATTCCATACACCCAGCCATCAGATTCACCATGGAAGTCGAAAATGATGGCAAGCTACCCTTTTTGGATGTCCTAATCAAAAGGAGACCTGATGGTTCAATGAGCCACTCTGTCTACAGGAAAGCCACCCACACGGATGCTTATCTAAAACCGGATTCCCACCACCATCCATCTCAGAAGAATTCCCTCATCAAGACTCTATATCATAGAGCCCAATGCATCTCCGACCATGAACACATTTCCAGTGAACTCAAACACGTACGCCAAGCTCTTAAGGCAAATGGTTACTCCGACTATACAATCAGCAAAGCCATCACTCCAACCATCAAGAAGGATCCTGTTGAGGAGCCTTTCAAGACCATCACCTTACCCTACATTGCTGGGGTCACAAAAAAGATCTCCAAAATCCTGATTAAACACAAGATCCAGGTCCGATTCAACACAGTACATAAAATCCGTGATCTGGTACCGTCTGTAAAAGATGTGGTTCCAGACATACAGTACCCTGGCGTCTACAAACTAAGTTGCCTCTGTGGTAGCAGTTACATTGGGGAAACCAAACGACATGTCTCGGACCGCATCCGTGAACATAAAGCTGACCTGAAACACGGTAGGACTAACACCTCAGCCGTGGCAGATCACTGTTACAACTCAGTGGGCTCACATGATATTGACTTCTCCAAGACAGAGGTTCTCTGCAAGCCATCTGGCTATCATGAGAGATTCGTTCATGAGGCGATCCACATATACAAACACAGAGACAACTTTAACCGAGAAGATGGATTCTGGCTCAGCAATCATTGGAAGGACGTAATAAACCATTTCGATACACATTAGGGTGTGTAGAATAATACATAGTGTGATATTAAATGTATAAGATATAGGTTGGTTTACAGCAATACAGTATATAATTTAATGTTGGGTTTATCTATGGCAGTATATAGTACGGTATATGCTCGTGTGATGTAAGAGAATAAGGTTTAGATGGAAGCATATTATAGAATTTTTACGAGGTAAAATTGTAATGTATTACTTGCTGTTAGTAACTCAGCTTATTACAGAGTATAGTAAGTATACTGATGGTGCGATGCAGTTTATACTTTAGTTTTTTTATGTAGTTTATACTTTAGTTTTCTACGTGGTTGTTGAGTAACTGCAGCTACATATCATTAACATTCCTTTCCTTTGTTACTGCTAATCCCTGCACCCCCCTTGGTTGCTGCTGATCCTGCATAATGCATGGGCATAATATGACTTTGACACCCCCCCGCCCAACGCCTACGCATTTTCCATGAATATGCTAAATCCCTCTTCACATGCACATTCTTTTTGTTAAGGCGCTCTTCAACCCCCAATGCAGCTTATATATAAGCTCCTAGTTTGGTAGTGTCTCATTCTTCACCTGAAGACGGCTGCTTGCGTTGTAGCCGAAACGTCGTGAGAATTGTTTTATTATGTTTTATTTTTATTATTTTATTACTTCCCTTCTACGTGACTTTACCGAAAGAAACAAGAAGATGAATCCCTGCAGTCACGAAAGCTTTAAATCGAAACCATCTTCCCTTGTTTGATCTTTGCTGTCAACGTGGTTTTTCTTGAGATCTCAATCGCCTGTAACAAATGAACACATCGAAGACAATTGGGCATCGTCAAGAGTCTAAAGTGGTCCTCCTGCTCAAGTGAGCGTGGCTTGGTGTTCGTCTCTCGTGACGAGGTGCACGGCTCCTGCGGTGGATCGTGAGAGATGGCGATTGCGCGGGGAGGTCTTCGTCCGGAAGTGGAATGATTGTGGCCGATTAAGTCTCAACGCCACAAAAACAAGAATGTCAACGTGAAAACGAGGGCTCAAAAAATCTGACACGAACACAATATTATTGTAAACATTAAACAGCATTTACATAAGAGGGGGGGGGGAGCACTCAAAAGCTCCACACTGATAGAGTCAAGAATCCATGGCTACACTGCCATCTCCTGACCACCTCGTAGCCAAGCCTGGCAGTCCCCGGCAGTCTCCCACCGACTCAACCCTGCGTCGTGTCTGAGATCTACGTTTATCAGTGGGCTCATTGAAGATTGGTCAAAACAGTCGCCTTGAACGGGCGGGGTGACCAATCAGGTGACTGGCATTGATGCCGCTACACGCGGACTGGGAATGAGAGCAACCGCCAGAAGAAATGCAGCGAGACGCGTGGGAAAGAGAAGAAGTCACGTCACTGCAGGCAGAAGGAGCTCTGGTGGGAGTTCTACAGAGGGTGACCGCTGTACACGGCGTCTTGGAGGATGGTGGGAATACACCCGCAACTTGACCCCAGCACACACAAGCAGGCGAGCAATGAAACGGTGCGCCCATTTATAGAGAATGAGAAGATGTATTGATACTGGAGGAATGCGATGAGATATGAAGCTGTTTTTCACAGATGTCCAGTACTATTAACTTTTTATTTTTATCTTACCAGGCAAGGCCCACTAAACCATCAACTTCTCTCACAGAAGCGTCCCGGCCACAAGCGCGAGCAGCTCTACGAAGCGGCTCACCACGTGAAAGATTGTTGAAGAGCAACAATGATATTTTGGAGTAAGAGAAAAAAGTGTGTGACATCATCATCATCATCAGCATTGTTTAACCTGCCGCGCCGGGAGATCAAACGGCACTGCGAGTCTGGTGCACTCACCGTCTTGACACTCGTGACAACGACGGCAGATCTCATCTTGCCTGCTGCCCTGGCCTGTTCAGTTCGCTTGGACGGCATCACGCCCGACACACTTGCTAGCAGCTCTTCGTCGACCTAACGTATAAACGTGAATATCAATGAACACAAAATCACGCAAAGATCCTGCAATTTAAAACATTTATTCGGCCTTGCTGGAATACGAGTGCATTGTACGAGCAAATCTACATTTGCATTTTTTTTATTTTGGGAATTCAGAAACCCGTCCCTTGGTCACGGGCATGCTTTGTGAGCACTCTCCGTCTCTGGCACATTCATCCTACGTTCATTGAACAAATGCTCCAAGCTCGTCAAGATGTCTATTCCACCTTCCCACATCCAGTGGCCCTTTGATTCTGATTGATGGTGATGGAGACTCGCATTAAACTGCAGAAGTGATTTTAGTTTTTAAATTGTACATTTTTTGTTTAATGTTATTGTCAAATGAATGGCTTAGATTACAATGACATAGTTTATTAGATTACAGCAATTATTTAATTATCTGGGAAAAACTCTCCCTCCAGTTGGTCGAGCTCTGAGTTTCACAGCGCACCGCACATTAGGAGAATGCTTCTATCCAGCGTGAACATCCACACATGACCCAATCATCCCTAGCGCTCAAGCGAGCCGCTTTGTCCCTACGAGAGTGGATCGAGTCCCATTGCATCGTCCAAAGAATTTCAATCAAAGCAGTCACATTACTCACCATGAAATCCATGCTGTCCGAGCCCTCGGAGTCCGACAGATGCAAAACTTTTCGCTTTTTCTTCACGACCTCCCCCGTGGCAAGGGGCTTGAGGATGCCTCCCTTGGAAGGCGACTTGGCCACTGTCACCGGTGCGAGCAAAGGTGGAGTCTTGCAGATCGCACGGACACACAAACAGAGATCCCCCAGTTAGGCCTGCAGGCTTGCGGGAGTGCCGTGCTGATCGCAAACAACTGACGTCAGCGCTTAGCCCAGCGGGGTTTATTGAACAAGACTGACTGATGACTAAGACCCGGCAGGTAAAAACTGGTCCAGATCTTGGTAGCTTGGATGAATACTATATTCTTAGGTTTTTTCGGTAAAGTCACGTAGGTAAAAAAATTAAATTAATAAAAGTAAAATAAAGCAAAATAAAATAAAAAATCACGACGTTTCGGAAGCAACACAAGCCTCCGTCTTCAGGTGGAACCGTCACAGCCACAACAGCTGTATCAAGTAAATGAGAGATCACAAGAAATACCACAAAGACACACAGAGAGAGATGTCTGTCTGCTTGTGTGTCTGTCTATAGTTTTCTAGTTAGATTTTTGTTGCTATTTCTTTTATGCCTGATGACGATTGCTTGTGTTGCAATCGAAACGTCGTAATATGCTATTATTTAATTGGCTATTTTATCTTTAGACGTGACTTAACCGAAAGAACCAAAGAATAATTCCTGCAGTCACGAAAGCTCCAAAATTAAGATTGAATCATGTTTACATTAACCACAATACTTGCAGTCAAATGCAAAAAAAAACAATACTCTGATCATTTATGTGTTGTCCTTGAAACTGATTGGTCCACACCAGAGACAGCTTTCTTTAGAGCCCAGTCTCATATGGTGTTCATCAGTTTTGTTGCCAGAGAAAAGGGGGAAAACCCTCTCGACAAGCGAGCTCTGCGGCACCGCACTGCTCCTGACGCCGCCGTCACAAACAACGCCAACTCACCGCTTTTCCCTGCACATCTCCAATCACCGGTTGTTCCATCTCGATTCGATTCTCTAGCCGCTGACGCTGCTTCAGGACCAGCTCGTTCACTGCGAAAAGACGCGTGTGGGGAAAAAGCTGTTAAATATTAAACAACGCGAGCATCACTCTTAGGTTATTTAGGTAAAGTCAGGTAGGTAAAAAATTAACCCGTAAAAACAAAGTTTTTCACTATAAATCCTTTATATGCGTGGCGGCTAGAGTCCTCTCGTCCTCTGGCTTGAGATGGCTGCCACCTATGGGTCAGATGATTGCCTGCCACCATTAAGCAATTGGTAATTCAATATAATTAATTTTTTCCTAAAAAGTGTAAAGTTATGGAAAAAAATTTTCACTAAAAAAAATTGTCACGCACAACGAGTCTGTGTGCAAAATGTCAGCTCGATTGGATCACGGGAAGTGGGTTAAAAAACGACCGAAAGATTTGCACGGTCGTAAGCGCGCAAGCAAGCAAGCAAACTTAATATAAAGGATTTAAATAAAAAACGACCGAAAGATTTGCACGGTCGTAAGCGCGCAAGCAAGCAAGCAAGCGAACTTAATATAAAGGATTTAAAAAGGAGAGTACTGTTAAACGCTGGGGATGTCAACGCTCGGTAAAGTAGAATAGTACCTGTTAAATAAGATGGTCCAAATATGTGTCGTTAAATCTTTTTTGCATGGTTAATAACATCTTTCCCATTATTACTCAGTTTGTACCCATCATCACAGTTGAAGTTATTCTAGATTTGAAGCTTTCGTGACTGCAAGGATTCATATTCTTAGGTTTTTTTCGGTAACGTCACGTAGGTAAAAAATTAAAATTAATAAAAGTGAAATAAAAATAAAAGATTTTTATTTTATTTTTATTTTACTTTTATTAGTTGAAGTTACGTCTGTGTTTGTATATCTGGATGGCTTCGTGTAAAATTCCGTCACAGTTCCTATGATTGCTTTTTCATTGCTTTCATGGCTTTATTTTGGTGATTTCGAAAAGTGTATTGGTTTAGCCATGTTTGTGTTGTTGTAGTACAGAGTTAGACTGATGGCCTTAATCTAAGCTGTCTTGTGGTTGTTGTTGTTGTTGTTTGACTTGCATCCCACTGGGATTTTTGCACACAGCGTTGGTGTACGGTGTTTTTTCTGCAATATTTTGCTGTCTTTTCTTGGATTTTCTGTTTGTACTCAGTCACATATTCACTTTAAGATGTTTTCTTGTTCATGTTTTTGTTTTTTGTTTGTTGCAGTTGCACCCGATTCAAGAGCCGAATGGCTCACATGGCTACACCTAATACATGAAACTTGAACTTGAACAAACCTTTGATGGTAGCCAGGAGGTTTGCAGAGCATCAATCGTTGAAGGCCTGTGTTGCATTGCCGTGAAACAAAATTTGCGAAAAATGCAGGTGGATGGAAAATAAGTAAAAAACAACTCACAGAGGAAGTTTGGATATATCTGCTTTGAATTCTTAATGGCGGAACTGCACTTTGGGCAGCTATTGTTCTCCTCCAGACTCCGACGGATGCATTTGCAACTGAAACGCAGACAAAATGCAACGGCGAGTAAATTGGCAATCGCCGTTATCAGCATCATTGGAAAATTTACCAATCACCGAATATTGTCGCGCATTCGCCGGACGGTGGAAAGAAATGGAATGCAACAACAAAGTACAGTAAAACCTTGGATTGCGAGGAACTTGGTCTGCGAGTGTTTTGCAAGATGGAACAGAAGCACTTCTCCTCCGAGCAGACACGCACATACCAGAAGCTGTGGCCACACTTGGTCATGTACGGCTCTTCTATCGTGTCCAAACAGATGGGGCTGAACATGCAACAGCACAAGGGAGACGAGCAGACATTGGCAACGAAGGAAGAGTTTCCAACACAGCCCTTGTGTCGTGACATAAGAGGGAAGGGCTGCCGGGGGCTCTGGGACCCTAGGCAGATAAGCCCCTTGGCGCCAGGCACTAGGATCCCAGGCACCCCAGACACTTAAGCCCCTTGGCACCAGGCGCTAGGATCCCAGGCACCCCAGACACTTAAGCCCCTTGGCGCCAGACGCTAGGATCCCAGGCACCCCAGACACTTAAGCCCCTTGGCGCCAGGCACTAGGATCCCAGGCACCCCAGACAGTTAAGCCCCTTGGCACCAGGCACTAGGATCCCAGGCACCCCAGACACTTAAGCCCCTTGGCGCCAGACGCTAGGATCCCAGGCACCCCAGACACTTAAGCCCCTTGGCGCCAGGCACTAGGATCCCAGGCACCCCAGACAGTTAAGCCCCTTGGCACCAGGCACTAGGATCCCAGGCACCCCAGACGCTTAAGCCCCTTGGCGCCAGACGCTAGGATCCCAGGCACCCCAGACACTTAAGCCCCTTGGCGCCAGGCACTAGGATCCCAGGCACCCCAGACAGTTAAGCCCCTTGGCGCCAGGCGCTAGGATCCCAGGCACCCCAGACACTTAAGCCCCTTGGCGCCAGGCACTAGGATCCCAGGCACCCCAGACGCTTAAGCCCCTTGGTGCCAGACGCTAGGATCCCAGGCACCCCAGACACTTAAGCCCCTTGGCGCCAGGCACTAGGATCCCAGGCACCCCAGACACTTAAGCCCCTTGGCGCCAGACGCTAGGATCCCAGGCACCCCAGACACTTAAGCCCCTTGGCGCCAGGCACTAGGATCCCAGGCACCCCAGACAGTTAAGCCCCTTGGCACCAGGCACTAGGATCCCAGGCACCCCAGACGCTTAAGCCCCTTGGCGCCAGACGCTAGGATCCCAGGCACCCCAGACACTTAAGCCCCTTGGCGCCAGGCACTAGGATCCCAGGCACCCCAGACAGTTAAGCCCCTTGGCGCCAGGCGCTAGGATCCCAGGCACCCCAGACACTTAAGCCCCTTGGCGCCAGGCACTAGGATCCCAGGCACCCCAGACGCTTAAGCCCCTTGGCGCCACCAACAGGGGGGCTGTGTGCTCTGTGGGATACCTGGGGGCGCACACAACCCCACCCCTCGTTGGGGACGAGGCACAAAAGGGCAGCTCCCTGGACGATTGGGGCCAGTTGTAGCTCAAGACCCGCCAGCCAGCTTAGGACCCTGGGACGCTGTGAGGGCCAGTGGTGGGACTCTGGAACTGTGAGGGCGAGTTCCAGAACGTAGCCAGAGTAGTGTATCTAGGCTGTGTACCTAGGCTGTGTATCTAGGCTGTGTACCTAGGCTGTGTACCTAGGCTGTAACAAGAGTATCAGGACTGTTGGAGTATTGGATTGTAATAAAGAAGTTACCTCTACAAGTGTCTCCGGAACCCATTACATTTGCATCACAATGTCATGGTAATTTCAGCTCCCAATGCTGATGTACATTTGTTGATATAACTGACGCCACGTTTGCCAACATCAATCATTACATGTAGTCGCTGCCAATCATTTAAAGTAATTCCCTGCCTTCACCCATAACGCTTTAAGAAAAGATATGTTTGGATTAGTATGAAACATAATGGAACCACATCTCAATATCAATGCACTACTCTTCTCATTCAGGTGATCCAATCCATAGAAATCTTACAGCCCAACCAGTCTTCATAGATGTTCCCAAACAGCACTTTCCCCAACAAACTAAAGAGGGCTATGGTGGGAGACGTATCTTGTTTTGTGTGTGTGCACATACACAAAGACAAATATCCCCCGTATAGCCAGTACAGACTGTTGGGGCAAGTGCTGTTTGCGAGCACCTATGAAGGCCGGCACGGCACACGAGGGGGTGGGTGGCCAACACCAGTGGCGATGTTTACACACTGCACCAGGTGCTCATTTAAGGCCGAGTCGACCTAGGGGAGGCCCAGGATTGGTTCAAATAATCGTCACTGGTGTTGACCGCAAGCGGGGAATTGAACTCGGGTCGCCAGGTTCGTAGCGCAGCGTAGCGCTAACAGCTGCGCCACCGCTCCCCACCCACTACACTATACACTACTATACACTACTATACACTACACTATACACTACACTATACACTAGTGCTGTACTAGTATACTATACTATACACTACACTATACACTACTATACACTACACTATACACTACACTATACACTACACTATACACTAGTGCTGTACTAGCATACTATACTATACACTACACACTACACTATACACTACACTACTATACACTACACTATACACTAGTGCTGTACTAGTATACTACACTATACACTACACTATACACTACTATACACTACACTACACTATACACTACACTATACACTAGTGCTGTACTAGTATACTACACTATACACTACACTATACACTACACTATACACTACACTATACACTACACTATTTCAAACACATGTGCACATACAAATTGTATGGACATGTATTTGTGTGTGGGTGTGCGTGTCTAATTTAGTCTGCGAGTACGTATTTTGTATCTTGTTTTTACGCATCCGTGTAATCTCTGCGTGTCTGCACGTAATCTGCATGGTGTGTGTGTGGTCTTTGTGGCTGTGCGTGGCCGCGTTTAGTCTGCATGTGTGCGTCTCTCGTCTGTGTCCGGACGCATTAGTAAGTCACATACGCGAGTCACCTCTGGCAATCACTTGCCTGCTCACTGCAGTGTGTGTGTGCGTGTGGGCCAACAGCGATTGTAGGGAGGGGGGAGGAGGTTAGGCCTAACTTCACAGGCTATTTCGTGTTTATCACAATGGGAATTTAAAAAAATTAACCCGTAAAAACTAAGTTTTTCACTATAAATCCTTTATATGCGTGTTCAATGCGCCACAACCCAGCCCACATTGGTCTTTGAAACGGGCGGCTAGCGTCCTCTCGTCCTCTGGCTTGAGATGGCTGCCACCTATGGGTCAGATGATTGCCTGCCACCATTAAGCAATTGGTAATTTAATATTTAAAAAAATTACCTAAAAAGTGTAAAATTTTGCAAAAATTTTTTCACGAAAATAAATTGTCACGCACAACGAGTCTGTGTGCAAAATGTCAGCTCGATTAGATCACGGGAAGTGGGTTAAAAAACGACCGAAAGATTTGCACGGTCGTAAGCGCGCAAGCAAGTGAACTTAATATAAAGGATTTTAAAAAACCTTAGCTTTTTTTTCAGGTACTCTCATTTCCTGGCACACGCAAAATCATTATTAAAACGGATTTGGTAAATTTAACACAAACGAAACAGCATTTCCCCACACAAATCCGGCTTGTCGCCTGATGAAGCCAGTTGCAACTACTGGAGAAACGTCGTACTCCGATTGTAAATGTTGTGGCTTGGCTCTCCAACACACCGGTTAGTGCTGAACTAGTACACTATACACTACACTACTATACACGACACTACACTATACACTACACTATACACTAGTGCTGTACTAGTATACTACACTATACACTATACTACTATACACTATACTATACACTACACTATACACTAGTGCTGTACAAGTATACTACACTATACACTACACTACTATACACTATACTATACACTACACTATACACTACACTACTATACACTATACTATACACTACACTACACACTATACACTACACTATACACTAGTGCTGTACTATTATACTACACTACACTATACACTACTACACACTACACTACTATATACTACACTATACACTACACTATACACTACTATACACTACACTATACACTACTATATACACTACACACTACACTATACACTACTCTATACACTAGCACTATACTATTATACTACACTACACACTACACTACTATACACTACACTACTATACACTACACTATACACTACACTATACACTACACTACACACTACTACACACTACACTATACATTACACTACTATACACTACACTATACACTACTACACACTGCACTACACACTACACTATACACTACACTACACACTACTATACACTACACTATACACTACTACACACTGCACTACACACTACACTTAAATCAGTGAAACCTGAACCAGCCCCCCCCCCGACTAAGTGGTCCCCAACACGCGGCGGCGGCGGCGAGCGGCGTGGTCACGTGGGGACCAACAGCCGCGCACTGAACCCACCACGCCCAGTCGCTCTCCTCGACGAGCCCGCGGCGGGAGGGCGCCTGCGGCCTACTGCGCTGGCCGCCTCGAGGCGCGCCTCTCCCGGCAGCCCCGCTAGGCGAGCCCGAGGCTTCGGCCCAAGAGCAGGCCGACATCGCCGGGGGAGTCTGTGAGAGAGGCACGCGAGACGCTGGTGATGACGACGACAACAGTGACACGTTGTTTGTTGTTGTCATTCAAACGTCGTGAAGGAGGAAATAGAGAAACGTCGACACCACGGGGCCCTGGCCCGGATCTCCCCCACACACACACAGTGCGCTAACCACTGCACCACCACTCACTCACACACGGTGCGCTAACCACTGCACCACCACTCATTCACACACAGTGCGCTAACCACTGGACCACCACTCCCCACTCACACCACGCGACAGCCGAAGTCACGTGCAGAGAAAATCGATTCAAGGTCAAATAATAAACTCGGATCGATTCCTATTGGGATAACAAGTGAATCGATTGTGGTCAAAAATGGAGCCGATGGAATCGATCCCTAGTGGGACTGCATTGGAATTGACAGTGGTGGTGAGTGCAAGATGGAATCGAATACATTTTCGATTACGTGGGAATCGATTATGGTGATTTGTTCTAATGAAATGGATTCACATTAGGATAACGTAGGAATCGATGTAGCTAGTGATTAGAGCGGATAGAATCGATTCCTATTGGGATACCATGCGAATCGATTGTGATAGAAACGGTGAGCGGTTTGAATCGATTCCTATTGAGATAACATTGTAGTCTATGGGTCTCTGTGTTGTGAGTCTGTCTATGGATCAACCTTCATCATCACCACCCAATATCACCCCCCCACTACCCCCCCCCCACGCACCCATTTTTATTATTTTATTATTTACCTTCTACGTGACTTTACCGAAAGAACCAAGAAGAAGAAAATAAATCTATATATATAAAATCGCAAATCTGTCTGTCTGTGTGTGTGTCTGTGTGTGTCTGTGTGTGTCTGTGTGTGTGTCTGTGTGTGTGTCGCCGGACCATACGCAGTTTCATTGGCCGAAATGTGAGGGATTTGCGAGACGCGATTGGTCCGTTTGGTTTTCCACGACGGTTGCCCCTGGCAACGGGTAGCGACGCATTCGCCGCGGGGTGGACGCCATTTTTAATTCCCGTTAAAAATATGCGCATTAACACGCGACTCTGAGGTAAATTCATCAAAGTTTCACGTCCTCTTCACTCCCCCCTCACCCCAATGTGTGCAATTACTATTATAGGGTCGGTAGATAATAAAATTATAGCGATTAGACAGTATTATTGTAGCGCGGGGGGGGGTAGCAGCCCATCTGTGTATATATGTAAGGTTATTAAGAAATATATTTTTCACCCGGGCAACGCCGGGTACTTATGCTAGTAAAATATAATAAAATACAAAAAAATAAATTAACAAATAAATAAATAATACCCCCGTTGACAGGAAGAGGGAAAAAAATCCCCTCCCCCACAATTTGGCGCCCTTTGCACGACGCGACCCGGTGAGCAGCTCAGTTCTAACGGCGTGAACACGCGGGGCGCATCGTGGGTGATCACCACCAACAACAACATCAACAACAACATCATCAACAACATTAACTACATCATCAACAACATCATCATCAACAACATTATCATCATCAACATTATCATCATCAACAACATCATCATCAACATCATCATCATCAACAACATCATCACCATCAACATCATCAACATCACCATCACCACCATCATCACCACCATCATCACCACCATCATCACCACCAACAACAACATCATCAACATCATCAACAACATCAACAACATTAACGACATCATCAACAACATCATCAACAACACCACCATCACCACCACCATCATCATCACCATCATCACCATCATCACCACCACCACCACCACCATCATCACCATCATCACCACCATCACCACCATCATCACCATCATCACCACCATCACCACCATCATCACCACCATCACCACCATCATCACCATCATCACCACCATCACCACCACCATCACCACCACCATCACCACCACCACCATCACCACCATCACCACCACCACCATCACCACCATCACCACCATCACCACCATCACCACCACCATCACCACCATCATCACCACCATCACCACCATCACCACCACCATCACCACCATCACCACCATCATCACCACCATCACCACCATCACCACCATCATCACCACCATCACCACCATCATCACCACCATCACCACCATCACCACCACCATCACCACCATCACCACCATCACCACCACCATCACCACCATCACCACCATCACCACCATCACCACCACCATCATCACCATCATCACCACCATCACCACCATCATCACCACCATCACCACCATCATCACCATCATCACCACCATCACCACCATCATCACCACCATCACCACCATCATCACCATCATCACCACCATCACCACCACCATCACCACCACCATCACCACCACCACCATCACCACCATCACCACCACCACCATCACCACCATCACCACCATCACCACCATCACCACCACCATCACCACCATCATCACCACCATCACCACCATCACCACCACCATCACCACCATCACCACCATCATCACCACCATCACCACCATCACCACCATCATCACCACCATCACCACCATCATCACCACCATCACCACCATCACCACCACCATCACCACCATCACCACCATCACCACCACCATCACCACCATCACCACCATCACCACCATCACCACCACCATCATCACCATCATCACCACCATCACCACCATCATCACCACCATCACCACCATCATCACCATCATCACCACCACCATCACCATCATCATCACCATCATCACCACCATCACCACCATCACCACCACCATCACCACCACCATCACCACCATCACCACCACCATCACCACCACCATCACCACCATCACCACCACCATCACCACCACCATCACCACCACTCGCCTTCTCTCTGTGTCTCTCTCGCTCCGCACCTCAATCCGCTCCCTCCACTCGCCCTCACACCAACAAACTCCCCCCCCCCCCCACACGTAGCCACGTGACTGCCCCTCCCCCCATCACGTGACTGCCCCTCCCCCATCACGTGACTGGCCCTCCCCCCCATCACCTGACCCCCCCATCTACCCCCCCCCATCCCTCCACTACCCCCCTCCCCCCCCACAGGCTGAGAGTGACGCGTTACAGGAATAGCGAGTCTGTAGATTGATAACGTTTCGTTTTAAAATAAACTGTGTAACAGAATGAGCATGAAAAGTACAAATATCGCCAAACGGACGATACGATTCGCTTGGGCCCCGTTCCGTACGACATTGTGACATCATCGCGGCGATCATCATCATCATCTGGGACGACTTTGCATCAAAGTAAGAACCCGCATCTTAGAGACGGGCTCGATATAAACATTTTTGTTGTTCAATAAGCGAGCGCTCTACCATCCGAGCTGATTACTGCAGGAATTAAAGAGTTTAATAATTATTTTTTATAATCAAATCTATTTTCTTCCCACGTGATTTTACCGAAATCTCGCTCCCTCCTCGTGTCTGGGGCAGCAGCTGAGATGGGGGCGCTGCTCGTTCAGCGCGCGGGAGCTCGCGGGTTCGATCCCCGCATCCTCCACGCAAACAATAGTTTTCAAAAAGGAAACTCCGTTTTTACATTCACGAGCAGAGACCCCGTTGTTGCGCTGAAGGTGATGAACGTGTTTCACTGCGACAACAACAAGCCGCCAAGACGCTTCCTCGGGGTGCAGCTCTCAGCTGGCGCCTCTCGCGTTCTCACGAGCGCCGCCTGCCGCCCAGAGGCGGGAGTCTTCAGCGCAGCGAGCAACTCGCGCCGCACTTTTACATCAACTAAGATGCGGGTTTATTAAACTGCAAATCCTAATCAAAAATCGAGGGCGACGAGACGTCAAGCTGGTTCACCAATGTGAACATGTCACCAACAATAACGCTGGCGCGTTACATTTAAAATTTGATTTAAAAAAAAGATTCCTCGTGGAGGATGCGGGAATCGAACTTAACATCGAAGAGTTCAGTGCGTTTAGTGGCGTGCTCACGCTATCAACGACACTAAACTCTTGGTAGCATCTCGAGGGTCCTAGTGTAGTTACTAGTGTGCCAGTTGTGTGTGTTAGCGAGCTCTGTGTTCATTGTATTACGTTTTATTTTTATTATTAAACGTAATAAAAAATAAAAATGTATAAAAAATTAATTAATTATAAATTTATTAATTATTTTTTAAAAATAATAATTTTATTATGTTTTATTTTGATTTATTTTGTTTTATTTTTGTATTATTTCCATTCTACGTAATAAAAATAAAACATAATAAAATAATTATTTTATTATGTTTTAATGTTATTATAAAACATAATAAAAGAATTAATTTATTACGTATAATACAATAATTATTATAATAAAATAATGTTTTTATTATATTTTATTTTTATTATAATAAAAATAGTAAATTAATTATTTTGTTATGTTTTCTTTTGATTATTTTATTATTTCCATTCTACGTAATAAAAATAAAACATAATAAAATAATTATTTTAGTACGTATAATAAAAAAAATACTTTATTATGCTTTATTTTGATTTTTTTTATTTCCATTCTACGTAATAAAAATGAAATATAATAAAATCATTTTGCTAGTATGTATAATAAAATTATTATTTTATAATGTTTTATTTTGATTTTTGTATTATTTCCATTCTACGTAATAAAAATAAAACAATAAAAAAATTATGTTAGTATGTATAACAAAATAATTATGTTCAGTATAATTAGTAGCATGCTCACGCTACCAACTACGCTGATCACTCCGTAGCATCGCGAGGGTCCTAGTGAAGTTGGTAGCGTGCAAGTTGTGTGTGTTAGCGAGCTCTGTGTTGAATAAATGTCAAAAATAATATTCGCCTGTGGAGGATGCGGGCATCGAACTCGCCACCTCTCTCAAGGTCCCCTCGAAGGATGTGAGAGTCACGTGGGGTCTGTGGTGCAATGGATAGCGCGGCTGCCTGCGGATAAGACGGTTGTAGGTTCGATTCCTGCCAGGCTCGATATGTATATTGTTTATAGGTATTTTTTATTTCTCGTCACATCTCTAACGTCTTAAAGGGGCTTTAAAACAGCAAAATTGAGGGCGACGAGACGTCAAGCTGGTTCACCAATGTGAACATGTCACCAACAATAACGATGGATGTTACATTTATAATTTGATTTTTTAAAAATCCTCGTGGAGGAGGCTGGCATCGATCCGGCGACCTAAAGATCGGAGAACTCAACGTACTTAGTGGCGTGCTCACACTACCAGGTACGCTGATGTCTCCGTAGCATCGAGAGGGTCCTAGTCTCGTTGGTAGCGTGCAAGCTGTGTGTGTCATCTTCTTGGTTCTTTCGGTAAAGTCACGTAGAATGGAAATAATAAAAATAAAAATAAAACATAATAAAATAATTATTTTATTATACATAATAAATAATTATACATAATACATAATAAAATAATAAAATAATTATTTTATTATGTATAATGATTATTTTATTATGTATAATAATTATTTTATTATGCATAATATAATAATTATTTTATTATGTTTTATTTTTATTATTGGCTCAGATGGTAGCGCGCTCGAGAAAAGAGAAGTGAACACATCTCAAATGCACGTCCAGTACAAGGATAGACGGTGTGAAATGTCTTACTAACAACACAGAGCTCGCTAACACACACAACTGACACGCTAGTCACTACACTAGGACCCTCGCGATGCTACGAAGAGTTGAGTGTAGTTGGTAGCGTGAGCACGCCACTAAAACACTAAACTCTTCGATGTTTAGATCGCCGGATCGATTCCTGCATCATCCACGAGGAATATTTTTTTAAATCAATTGTTTAATGTAACGTCCATCGTTCACATTGGTGAACCAGCTTGACCTCTTGTCGTCCTCGATGTTGCTGTTTTGAAGCCCCTGTTAAGACGTTAGAGATGTGACAACAACAACAACCACAAGACAACTTAGATTAAGGCCATCAGTCTAACTCTGTACTACAACAAACATGGCTAAACCAATACACTTTTCGAAATCACCAAAATAAAGCCATGAAAGCAAAAATGTCGATCAACAATGTTTCTTTTAATAAACAGCAAATCCCAATCAAGCGGTCAGTGCCTTGCCCAATGGACTCATTAATGTGTAACGTTTTCTATTTGAATAAATGTAAAATAAGAACAACCCGTAAAAACAAAGTTTTTCACTCTAAATCCTTTATATGCGTGGCGGCTAGAGTCCTCTCGTCCTCTGGCTTGAGATGGCTGCCACCTATGGGTCAGATGATTGCATTGCACCATTAAGCAATTGGTAATAAAATATTTTATTTGTTTTCCCTAAACAGTGTAAAATTTTTGACATTTTTTTTTCACGAACATTAATTGTCTCGCACAACGAGTCTGTGTGCAAAATGTCAGCTCGATTGGATCACGGGAAGTGGGTTAAAAAACGAGCGAAAGATTTGCACGGTCCTAAGCAAGCAAGCGAACTTAATATAAAGGATTTAAGAATATATTCGCCTGTGGAGGACGCGGGGATCGATCCCGCGACCTCTCGCATGGGAAGCGAGACTGCGCCACTCGCCCAGCGCGTGAAGGTGTCACGCGCTGGGCTCCTACACGGTGACGTTTAGCCACATCCATGATGAGTTCCAGATTTGAAGCTTTCGTGACTGCAATGATTCATATTCTTAGGCTTTTTCGGTAAAGTCACTTATTAAATTGTAGATTTGAAGCTTTCGTGACTGCAATGATTCATACTCTTAGGCTCTTTTCGGTAAAGTCGTTTATTAAATTGTGGATTTGAAGCTTTCGTGACTGCAATGATTCATACTCTTAAGCTTTTTCGGAAAAAGTCGCTTATTAAATTGTAGATTTGAAGCTTTCGTGACTGCAATGATTCATACTCTAAGGCTTTTTCGGTAAAGTCACTTATTAAATTGTAGATTTGAAGCTTTCGTGACTGCAATGATTCATACTCTTAGGCTTTTTCGGTAAAGTCACTTATTAAATTGTAGATTTGAAGCTTTCGTGACTGCAATGATTCATACTCTTAGGCTGTTTCGGTCAAGTCACTTATTAAATTGTAGATTTGAAGCTTTCGTGACTGCAATGATTCATACTCTTAGGCTTTTTCGGTCAAGTCGCTTATTAAATTGTGGATTTGAAGCTTTCGTGACTGCAATGATTCATACTCTTAGTTTTTTTCGGTAAAGTCATTTATTAAAGCAAAAAACCCACGACGTTTCGATCGCCACACATTAACATAATATATTAATGACGTCAGTTAGAGTCGCCACTCGTTGTGGGAGGGGCTGTTGCTGGTACCCCGGGAGTGACGTCATGTCACCTGCTGCCGCGTGACGTCACAGGCTGCAGCTTCGCGCGTGCAGTGAAATCCGAGGTGAGAAATTCTCATCGTTGTGGTTGTTGTTGTTGTGGTTGTTGTTGTTGTTGTGGTTGTTGTTGTTTACCAAGGTAGAGCCTCGCTCTCTCTCTCTCGTAGGGATGTCACTAGAGCAGCTTGTGAATCGATGTCCAAGTTGGAACTTTACAACGCGGGGCCTAGACACGCGGGGCCTTGCCTCCTGCCCTCGCCTGGTCGCGTTTGCTTTAATTCCCTCCCTTAAGTTTCATTTGTCTTCACGCGGCTCGCTACTTTGTCACTTTGGTTTATTGTAGATATTAACGCAGTTTTTTTTTTCGTTTTTTTACCAGCCCAAGCCCGCCTGAGCTGCTGTACCGCTCTTGTTTACAGAAGCTACCTGCCCACAACACAAGGTGGGTGGGGTTTTGTCAACGCGTGTGTCAATGTTTTGACTTAAAACTTTCGTAACTGCAACAATTCATATTCTTGGTTCTTTCGGTAAAGTCACGGAGATAGAAAATAAAATAACAGATCCAAATTTTTAATTAAATAAAAATTTGGAAATAAAACAAAAAAACCCACGACGTTTTGACCGCAACACAAGTGGTCTTTGTTTATTTCCATGATCTGTTATTTGTATTTGCTATCTACGTGACTTTAGAACCAAGACTACGTGTGTCAATGTCTGTCAAACACGCTGAGCGCGTGCTCATGTTGACTCTAAATGTGGAGGAGACAACCCCTGCTGCTGTTAACCATGGCAGTGTGTGTGTGCCAGAGTCAAGTCTGTTCACTCTGTTGAACACGCACGTTATATCAAAACAATATCATATCTTCTGGATTCTTTCGGTAAAGTCACGTAGAAGGGAAATAATAAAATAATACAAATAAAACATTAAATAATTCTCACGACGTTTCGGCCACAACGCAAGCAGCCGTCCTCAGGTGAAAACCAGGTCTGACAGACCTGGTTTTCTGACAGACCTGGTTTTTACCTGAGGACGGCTGCTTGCGTTGTGGCCGAAACGTCGTGAGAATTATTTTATTATGTTTTATTTTTTATTATTTTATTACTTCCCTTCTACGTGACTTTACCGACAGAACCAAGAAGATCTATTAACTCTATTGAACACGGAGGTTATATCACAACAATAGTTTGTTTTTGGTTTCCTCTGGAACTCTTTATAAGAATGGAAAAGTCAAGAAGTTGACACAGCACACACGTGCAGCAGCTGAAGTCAGATCTGCTCATCTCAGCATTCAGGACATCGTGAGCCTGGCTGGCTTCACACCTCTAAGTTGCGATTGAACATTAATTTATGCATTTCTGCATAACACAAATAGTATTATTTTCAACACCCTTTGCTATGTCAGCTGAATTTAGCTTTCAAAATATTCCTTTTGTAGCCAGACAGCCGATATTGTGTGCTCGGAGTTTTGGGTTAACATTCATTTTGAAGATACAAGGGCTTCCAGGCATGTTTGTGACCATTCACCCTCTCATTGTGTGCCATAACAGCCCGTGTGATGAATTTGGTGAACTTTTTCACTACATCATGAATATATGAATAAGTATAGACGTGTAAGTCACGTGTGACTGTGTATATGCATTACTCTGTGTCTGACGTGTAGGTGGTGTGGATATAATTTTTTTCTGTCTGCAGCTGTCGCTTGGTCTGATGGAGCAAAGGCACTCAGCACAGCTCGGTACGGCAAGGCAACAATGCGACCAGCGTGGATACAGCACGGAGCGGACTGGAAATTTGACACAGCACCAGAGAACACACACAGGAGAGAAACCCTTCAAGTGCACTGTGTGTGGGAAGGCATTTGCATGGCAATCTGCTCTTAAAAGACACCAGAGAACACACACGGGAGAGAAACCCTTCAAGTGCAGTGTGTGTGACGAGGTATTTGCACAGTCATATAATCTTAAGACACACCAGATAACACACACGGGAGAGAAAGCTTTCAAGTGCACTGTGTGTGGGAAGGCGTTTGCACATTCATCTGTTCTTAAAAGACACCAGAGAACACACACGGGAGAGAAACCCTTCAAGTGTACTCTGTGTGGGAAGGTGTTTTCTGTTTTACATCATCTCGTAATACACCAGAGAACACACACGGGAGAGAAACCCTTCAAGTGCAGTGTGTGTGGGAAGGCATTTGCACAGTCATCTACTCTTGTAACACACCAGAGAACACACACAGGAGAGAAACCCTTCAAGTGCAGTGTCTGTGGGAAGGCGTTTGCAGAGTCATCTTCTCTTGTAAAACACCAGAGAACACACACGGGAGAGAAACCCTTCAAGTGCAGTGTGTGTGGGAAGGCATTTGCACAGTCATCTGCTCTTGTAACACACAAGAGAACACACACGGGAGAGAAACCCTTCAAGTGCAGTGTGTGTGGGAAGGCGTTTGCAGAGTCATCTTCTCTTGTAAAACACCAGAGAACACACACGGGAGAGAAACCCTTCAAGTGCAGTGTGTGTGGGAAGGCATTTGCACAGTCATCTTCTCTTGTAAAACACCAGAGAACACACACGGGAGAGAAACCCTTCAGGTGCACTCCATTTGGGAAGGCATTTGCATGTTCACCAAATTTTCATGTACACCAGAGATCACGCAAGCATCAGAAGGTCCACCAGGAGTGGAGTCTGAAATCAGCTTGTGCAAGTCAAAGTGCTGCAATGAGCCCATCTGTCATCAAACAAGAACTGGAAGAAAATCCCAGCTTGGACACTTTTAAAGGTAACGAGGTGAAATATGAAGAGGTGAAGGTGAAATGTGAAGAAGTGATGGTGAAGAGCGAAGAAGTGAAGGTAAAATGTGAAGATGAAGATTCAACTCCAAAATGTGACCTTCACATCGATGGAGGCAACGTGAAGCAGGAGGAGAATTCTGACTGTGAGGCAGAGCGAGGCAACTCCCAGCAGCAGTTTGTGGAAGTGGAGGTGTGGGTGGACTTCCTCCGAGACAATACAAAGTCAAATGGAGACCCGGTAGATGTATAAGCCAGTGACGATGCCGCTCCAATAGATGCACCCTTGTCACAGGCCTTTAATGACAAGAATGTGAAGTTGAACACCCAATTCCTAGATTCAACCTGCAGGGTAAGAGCGGCCAGTCTTTGTGGACCTGTGTGTTGGGTAGATCTCTAACCAGGAGCGAGAGCCAATAAGCTCCCAAGCATTCACTCTGTTCTCATCATAATTGCATTTATATGGTGCTTGCTTAATCGCCTCTGCAACTCTGAGTTTTGCATCGTATCTCGTCTCAAACACTCGAAACATCCCCAAGTGGCAGCTGCCCCTGTGTGGCACAAGGTGGTGGCCCTGCACCGTCCTGCGTGTGGACAAGAGCCTGTCTGGGGGGCGATGGTTGATGTGGCATCTCAGTTGTGGAGTTTGTAGGTAATGTTTAGAATTTGCTACATTTTTACCCAGATGCCAGCATGCAATGGCCGACTCGTTTTGAATGGTGCATTAGTATGTTGTACATACACTGTTAAGCAGACGGTGCGTATTTTTTAAATTAGCTTCTTGTTAATAGGATGTAAACTAATAAAGCATATTTCAGTGCAGTCATTCAATTTTGTTCTTATGCCTGTCAATAATTTAGACTGAATACTTGTCTGATGGTGTGCGTACATGTAACCTTTTGTCTATAAGGGTCAAACATTGAATAAGTGATGTTATGACACAGTGTGTGTTTTGCAAGTAACCTGTACAGATAACTCAGGTGAGACTCATTGTGCTTGTGATACAGGTCAAAGGGTATTTTTGTGTTTTCAGGAAACATCTCCCTCTGGAGCAGCAACTCATTGTCTTTGAAATAGCGAGCACGCTCGGATCATTCATCAGTTACAAGGCATACCACTTAAAAGTTACACGTAGAGGAGATAGATTCTCTACAACACGAATTATAATTTTGTATTATGTGTTGACGTAGATTTTGTCGAATTAGAATAAGAAATGCTCCTTGCTGATTAACGTCTGGATGTTCACAACCATGGGGTTGAAGCAAGCCTGACCGCCTGCAGCCCCCTCACGACCATTCACGGCCTTGGGCCAGGAAAGTCACGAAAAAATTGCACACGAACGACGCATCCACGCAAACTCCCGATGCTCCGTTTTAAAGTTTGAAAATGAAACAACTTTGAATTGTATTATGTTTTGAATTTGATGATTGTGTTTATTCATTAAAAGCTTGTTATTTTACATCTGGAAGACTTCATTGAAAACGACATTTAGTATGAATTTTCTCTCGTCGTGAAGTAGATGGCCTTGCCGGGGTTCTGTTTGATGCGGACTTTCAACTGGTTGGGGTCGCGGGGTTGAGATGAGGCGACACAGAGCTGCTGGCCGTGCCAGAAGACCGCCGTCTGCAGATCGATTCCAACGCGATCGAACGTCTGTCCCTGCGCCTCCGTCGTTCATGCAAGGGGCGCGTAGGTTTGCATCGCCCCCTGCATGAAAGCGATGGAAAGTGCAGCGTTCGTCACAGATAAATGAAGTCGTGTGCTTGTATATTTACGTATAAATTGTACACAACCGGTCCACAGTTGACTTGCACTGAATGCTGCAGTAATTATATTTTGTGTAAAACATTCCTTTGTTTCGCGGAGACACTGTTAAATGAAAGACGTCTTGTCTGCTGATCTTGTTCATATCTGTGTACATCGATATCCCACACTGCTTGCACTACACACCACACAGGGAAATAGAAACTAGAACGACTTCCGGGGATGGGCAAAGATCGAGGAATCTGTCAATGGAGCGAGTTCAGTGTGTTCGATTCAACATCTCTCAGTCCCTCTGTCTCTGTTCGCCTCTGTGTGTCTCTCTCTGCCTCTCTCTGTGTCTATGTCGTCTCTCTGTCTCTGTGTTCCTCTTGTCTGTGTCTGTCCGCCTGTCTTGTCTGTCTGTGTGTGTCTGTCTATCAGCGTCTGTCCCACCGCAGTCAACGACTGTCAGTAGCAGCAGGCGCCCGTTCAACTCCCACGACTACACGCCACTCAAACTTGCTCCCAACACACAGATTGTAGGGGCAAGTGCTGTTAGCGAGCACCTATTAAGGGTGGGACGGCACACGAGGGGGTGGGTGGCCAGCACCACGCCCGGCCGCCTTTGTCTCCCCAGTGCTGGCGATGTTGACACACCGCACCGGGTACTCGTTTGAGGCTGAGTCGACGTAGGGGAGGCTCAGGACCGGCTCAGAAAGTGGCCACTGGCGGCGTTGGCCACGAGCGGGAATGGAACTCGGCTGGTCGGTGCGGAGCGCAGCGCTCACCACGTCACTGCCAACAACGACAAACTTGAACTCTGACCCCGCTCTCTGACGTCACCGCGCAGCGTGACCTCATCGGCGTCAAACGCCAGGGGGCGGTGTGCCTCGCAAGTGACGTCATGTCACCCATTCCCGACGGCGAAGCTCTTGAGCGTGACGTCACCTCCGTCCCAGTGCCAATCCTTATTTGGGCAAAGCCACGCCCGGTGACTGGGGGCTCATTAACATAATTTATTTAAGTTACAGAGCCGCTCGTTGCGGGAGGGGAGTATTCACTTTAAGATGTTTCTAGTGCGTGTTCATGTTTCCTGTTTGTTGCCGTTGCACCCGATTCAAGAGCCGAATGGCTCCCGGGGCGACACCGAAAACTTGAACTTGAATCCCGGAAGTGACGTCACGGCCTGTGCCGCGTGACGTCACGAGGCAGCAGCTGCTCCTGCCGCCTCGTGTGAACTGCAACCCGAGGTGAGAAATTCTCATCGCGGTTGTGGTGGTTGTGGTTGTTGTGGTGGTGGTTGTGGTGGTGATGGTGATGGTGGTGGGGGTGGTGGTTGTGGTGGTGATGGTTGTTGTGGTGGTTGTTGTGGTGGTGGTTGTGGTGGTGGTGGTTGTGGTGGTGGTTGTGATGGTGGTGGTTGTGGTGGTGGTTGTAGTGGTGGTGGTTGTTGTGGTGGTGGTTGTGGTGGTTGTGGTGATGGTGGTTGTGATGGTGGTGGTTGTGGTGGTGATGGTGGTGGGGTTGGTGGTTGTGGTGGTGATGGTTGTTGTGGTGGTTGTTGTGGTGGTGGTTGTGGTGGTGGTGGTTGTGGTGGTGGTTGTGGTGATGGTGGGGGTTGTGGTGATGGTGGGGGTGGTGGTGGTGGTTGTGGTGGTGGTGATGGTGGTGGTTGTGGTGGTGGTTGTGGTGGTGGTTGTGGTGGTTGTGATGGTGGTTGTGATGGTGGTGGTTGTGGTGGTTGTGGTGGTGGTGGTTGTGGTGGTTGTGGTGATGGTGGTGGTTGTGGTGGTGGTGGTGATGGTGGTGGTTGTGGTGGTTGTGATGGTGGTGGTTGTGGTGGTGGTTGTGATGGTGGTTGTGGTGGTTGTGATGGTGGTGGTTGTGGTGGTGGTTGTGATGGTGGTTGTGGTGGTGGTTGTGATGGTGGTGGTTGTGGTGGTGGTGATGGTGGTGGTTGTGGTGGTGGTGATGGTGGTGGTTGTGGTGGTGGTTGTGGTGGTGGTTGTGGTGGTGGTTGTGGTGGTTGTGATGGTGGTTGTGATGGTGGTGGTTGTGGTGGTTGTGGTGGTGGTGGTTGTGGTGGTTGTGGTGATGGTGGTGGTTGTGGTGGTGGTGGTGATGGTGGTGGTTGTGGTGGTTGTGATGGTGGTGGTTGTGGTGGTGGTTGTGATGGTGGTTGTGGTGGTTGTGATGGTGGTGGTTGTGGTGGTGGTTGTGATGGTGGTTGTGGTGGTTGTGATGGTGGTGGTTGTGGTGGTTGTGATGGTGGTGGTTGTGGTGGTGGTTGTGATGGTGGTGGTTGTTGTGGTGGTTGTTGTGATGGTTGTGATGGTTGTGATGGTGGTGGTGGTGGTTGTGGTGGTGGTTGTGATGGTGGTTGTGGTGGTGGTTGTGGTGGTGGTTGTGATGGTGATTGTGGTGGTAGTGCTTGTGGTGGTGGTGGTGGTTGTTGTGGTGGTGGTTGTGGTGGTTGTGGTGGTGATGATGGGGGTGGTGGTGGTGGTTGTTGTGGTGGTGGTTGTGGTGGTGGTGGTTGTGGGACCTTTGTCTGTGTCTACCTTCATAGGTGCTGCTACTCGCTACTAACAGCACTTGCCCCTGCAGTCTGTAGAGGCTACACGGGGGATCTTTGTCTGTGTCTACCTTCATAGGTGCTGCTGCTACTCGCTACCATCACCACAACCATCATCACCACCACCATCATCACCATCATCATCACCATCATCACCATCATCGTCACCATCACCATCATCACCATCATCACCATCGCCACCAGGGTACATCGCCATCGTCATCATCATCACCATCATCACCACCAGGGTACAATCACCATTGTCACCATCATCACCATCATCGTCACCATCGTCACCATCATCACCATCGCCACCATCACCACCATCATCACCATCATCACCATCGTCACCATCATCACCATCATCACCATCATCATCACCATCGTCACCACCAGGGTACCATCTCCACCACCAGGGTACAATCACCATCGCCACCAGGGTACATCGCCATCATCACCATCATCACCATCATCACCATCATCATCACCACCAGGGTACAATCACCATCATCACCATCGCCACCATCACCACCATCACCACCATCGCCACCAGGGTACAATCACCATCACCACCATCATTACCATCATCATCATCACCATCGCCACGAGGGTACAATCACCATCGTCACCATCATCGTCACCATCACCATCGTCACCATCACCACCATCATCATCGTCACCATCATCACCATCGCCACCAGGGTACAATCACCATCGTCACCATCATCGTCACCATCACCACCATCATCACCATCATCATCGCCACCAGGGTACAATCACCATCATCACCATCATCGTCACCATCACCACCATCGCCACCAGGATACATCGCCATCGTCACCATCATCGTCACCATCACTACCATCGCCACCATCATCACCATAGTCAACATCACCATCATCACCATCATCGTCACCATCATCACCATAGTCAACATCACCATCATCACCATCATCGTCACCATCATCACCATCATCGTCGATGTGTCTCTGTGTCTCTCCCCGTGTCTCTGTGTCTCAGCGTGTCTCTGTGTGTCTCTGTGTCTCTCCGTGTCTGTGTGTCTCTGTGTCGCAGCGTGTCTCCCCGTGTCTCTGTGTCACACCGTGTCTCTGTGTCTCTCCGTGTCTGTGTGTCTCTGTGTCGCAGCGTGTCTCCCCGTGTCTCTGTGTCTCTGTGTCTCTGTGTCACACCGTGTCTCTGTGTCTCAGCGTGTCTCCCCGTGTCTCTGTGTCTCAGCGTGTCTCCCCGTGTCTAAATTCCTCTTGATATGCAGATTCCTTTGTCAAGGCGCCCCTTCCCCCCTCCAACCCAGCTTAAATATACGCTGCCAAGCCTGGTGGTGTTTCATTCAGACGCCGTCTTCCCGACAGACCTGTTCTTCACCTGAGGACGGCTGCTTGCGTTGTGGCCGAAACGTCGTGAGAATTGTATTTTATTATGTTAAATTTGTCGCCAGGGCGTGCAACCCAGACGGGGCACTGACACCACAGCAAGCCAGACTCGC